GGGCCGCGCACATGCCTCGGGCCATGATTTGCGAACCCCCCTCTTGGACGCCCCCCTCTTGAAACCCCCCGACTCCCCCAGAGCGAACCCATTCGCATTAGAAACCAGGCTGCCAATCCCATCGGCTACATCTGCGGCACCGCTGTCGTCGCCCACGACGGGCCCAGCACCAGCGCTCTCCTCGTCAGCGGGTTCACGGCTAGCCCTAGCTCCCATAACCTCGACTCGGAGGCTTGGCAACCTGCTCCTCCGCGGACTTCGTGCTGGACGTCGAGGGCTGAATGATCTAAGGGATGACCATCGAGATAATAGTCTGGTGGGCCCCCGCGGGAGCCCACGTACCGTGCGGTCGAGATCATCGATCTCGGCTTTGTGGTCAGCGTGAAGCAAAACAACAAAAATGCGGTACCACAGCGCTCCCAGCCCCCCCCACCCTTCGCGACTGACCATGTACGAGCGCTGTGAGATTTATGCAGCATGCCCAGCATACCCGCCGCCCGCAACCCGGGGGCACGCGTAGGAACCCAGTTGTTCTCCCCAAGATTCTAAACTTGGCCAACGGCGGCCCGGTGGGCGGCGCACCCATGGCGGGGGCATGGCTAGGGCAAGGGGGCCCTTGCCATCCCGACTGGCCCGGGTGGGCCGTGCAGGACCCGGCTCGCGTCCCGGCTCCGGAACCCCCATGCACGGGCCCACCGGCAACCCCGTCCCGGGCGGTAACGCCAAGCGCCTAGCGGGGGTGCGGCCAGTCGCCCTGCGAAACGCCGCCAGAGTTTCGCTTCGAGCGACTCCTCGCTGCAGGGCCTGACGCGCTGCGGGCTCTTGGTAGCCGCAGCTCTCCCAGGTCGCTGCCCTGCGGGGGCTCATCCCAGAGCCGCAGGCCCCCGCCCACCTCCTCCACCAGTCCACTCTCGTGCCTCGCGCTGCGGCCTCCGTCTCGGCCGCGCCCACCAGGGGATGCCGTGGGCGGGCCGCGAGGAGTCCGATCCCACACGCGGCGACCTGGGCGCGATCGTCTGCGACCTCTGAGCAGACGATACGGATGATGCTGATGCTGATGATGATGCTGGTGATGGTGTTGGTGATGCTGGTGATGATGATGATGATGATGATGATGATGATGATGATGATGATGATGATGATGATGATCATTATCATCAGCATCCGCATCAGCATCACCATCATCAGCATCATCGTCATCAGCATCATTATCATTGTCACCATCATCATCATCCTCATCATCATCATCATCATCATCATCATCATCCTCATCCTCATCCTTTTCAGCGGCATCATCATCATCATCATCATCATCATCATCATCATCATCCTCATCCTCATCCTCATCCTCATCCTCATCCTCATCAGCACCATCAGCATCATCAGCAGCATCATCAGCATCATCAGCATCATCAGGCGGGGTGCGCCTCTCTCTCTCTCTATTTCTCTCCTGGGCTGGCCGCAGTTTCGCGAGCGCTTGCCCCCCCCCGTCCTCCCGCCCCGCCCCTCTCGACGGGGAGGCCGCAGGCTGACGCGGACCACCCGAGGGGGGGGGGGAGCGAAAGGCCAGACGTGCTGGCTTTCTCTTTTTAGTTTTCAGGCCATCGCAAACATGGATCAAGGGGGCGTGCATTATTGACGGGCCCCCTTTCCATTGGAAATCGCCCATTTCCGCCGCCGAGCGAGGCGGCACCGGCCGCATTTTGGGGAGGGCACCTCCCCCGATCAATGGATTTGGCGACTGCGCGCCAAATCCATGGATCGCCAATCCATGTTTGCGCGCCCCCGACAGTGTCTCTTCCGTCCTCCTCCCGTCGCAGGTGCCGCTTCGCACTGAGTTGGAAACCGACGGGTGTGTCCCAAGCGTGTTCTCTTTGTGGCTTTCAGCGTGCCCTGCACGGTGAGTTTCGTCTGCCCGGCTGGCGCACCAACAGAGTTCGCGTCGTCGTAAGCGGGGCGGAGCCCCGCTTCCCAAGCGTAGCATCCGAACGCGGGCGTTTTGAGAGTAGCCCTCCTTTGAGAGTAGCCCCCCCCCCCTGGGCGCGCCACACTGTCACCCTGCCACGTGAAGATGCCAGACTTAGCTTCCCAGCATGTCCACGCGTGCTTCAATCCCGACAGCGGGCCGCAGATCAGCTCTCGCCCATTTTGGGCACGTGCGCCTCCCACGCGAAGCGAGCTTGTTGCGCCGCCAGGCGTGATCTGAAGAAGACCTCGCCCTCCCCGAGGGCTGCGAACTGCGAAGCTGCCGCCACACTCGTGGGCTCCTGGGAGGCTCAGCGGCAGGTCGTCACTCCTAGATCAGCACGGGGCCCCGTCCTCCCTGGGGACCGCGATCGGCGCACACGTCGCCCCTGTCGTGGGCTCCTGGGAGGCCCAGCGGAGCGACGTCACACTCAGAGTGAGACCTCGCCACGTCTTATGGTGGGGGCGTTCGTTAAGGAATGTGCCCAGGAGGCTGCAGACCCTGGAGGATTCCCTATCTGATAAGGGCGGCGGTGATCATCATCATCATCATCATCATCATCATCATCATCATCATCATCATCAGCATCATCATCATCAGCATCATCATCATGATGATCATCACCATCATGAGCATCATCATAACTTACCTTCCCCGGGAAAATCCTTTACTATCCCCGCCAGACCCCCGAACTTTATCCCCGAACTTTATTACCCGTCGGTGATTATTATCGCCCGTGGTCGGCCATCCGTAGCCGATCCACGACTGGAGTTCCACGGGCTTCCAGTCCCTGGATTCCTCATCCAGTGGTCCGTGATCCAATGCCTTCACCGTAAGTCTTAAGTCGGGCCTGTCCCTCTACAGGGGGAACGTTCAAATATATATATATATATATATATATATATGTGTATATATATATATATATATATAACACCCCCCCCAAAAAAAAAAAAAACGTCTGCGGACGATTATTTGACAATTTTTGAGCATGTTTGGGGCATTGTTTGAGTATTTTTAATTTTTCGCCCAAAATCCCCCTGTAGGGGGGCAGGCCCGACCTAACCGTAAGTCGCTTGTGGTCCTCTTTGCCTTCACGGCGCGGGCGAGGCCCGGCCTGCCCTCGCGGTGTTCTCCAAGCCCCCCCCGCCGCCAGCCGCGCGCCGCCTCGCGCACAGATCACACCTCCCTCCACAGTTCTTGGCATCGCTCGGACGTGTGCATTTGTTCTCGGCGAGAACCATCGAGGACCATCCTGGACCATCGAGCGGAAAAAAAAACGCACGAAACGGACAACTGCACGGGAAATGGACGCCCGAGCGACGGCAAGAGTTGCACATTGTGAGTGATGCTCTCCTCTCTTCGGATGCTGCAACTCTGGGAGGTCAGATTCTGACTTTGCCCTGGTCCGAAATCCCGCGCAATCCCGCGCAATCCGGCTTAATCCCGCTTAATCAATCCGAGGCCCACTCCAGCGTAACAGCCCCCCAATGGGGCTTACTCCCCTTTAGTCCTTCCGACGAAAACCTTCCAGTAGTTGCCTCCTGACCTCTCTGTCTCTCTCTCTCTCTCTCTATCTCTGTCGCCCTGGCTGTGTCCCGACGATCCTCTGCCCTCTCCGCGTGTTGTCTCTCTTGCACGGGAGGACCAGACGCGCGTGCTTTCTGCTGTCCCCATTTGTGTTTGGCTTCCGTCGTACCGTTCTCGGTGTTCCAAGGTGGTGATCCCGCTGCAGCGTGGGCCCCATGTTTCGGGGGTGGATAGACCTCCTACCCTGACACGTCGACTAAGGAGTTGGCCGTTTTCGGTTCGCGAGAGGGCGTCGCGGCCAATACTCTTGCGGGTCCGGGTCCGTCGGTTTCTGTCCCAGGCCGTTTTCACTAAGGGGAGGTTTATTGAAGGGAGGTTTGTCCACAGCCGAATTCTCGGATCAGCGCTTTGCTCCCGCCGATCAGAGTGGCGCTCTGGCCCTGGCGCGGGCCACCGTTCTGGATCCGAGCCCCGCCTCCTCGTCGTCGCCTCCCTCCCTGCCCCTCCTCCACCCTGCCCTGGTCCGCCCGCTCCCCCCGCTGCTTCCACTCCAGCTCCCGCTGCTGTTCGTCCTCGTCCTCCTCCTCCTTCCTCCTCCTCCTCCTCCTCCTCCTGCTCAGAGCGTCCCCCTCTCCGACTGCGCATGGCACGTCGGAGTCTTCTTGTGAGTGCCAGACCTGCTGTGCATGCGTCCGCGGAGGGAGCAAAAAATCCGCGCAATGGGGAGGGATGGGTAGGAGGGAAGGGATGTCAGCTGTGGCTCAGGCGCACCTGGCTTGCCCTCCCCTCGTCGCCCCTCCCCCCTCCTCCCCCCCCTCCCCTCCCCTCCTCCTCCTCCTCCTCCTCCCTCCCCTCCCTCCACCTCCTCCTCCTCCTCCTCCTCCTTTTCCTCCTCCTCCTCATCCTCCTCCGCCTCCTCTCCTCCTCCTCCTCCCCTCCTCCTCCTCCTCCCCTCCCCCCTCCTCCTCCTCCTCTCCTCCTCCCCTCCTCCTCCTCCTCCTCCTCCTCCGCCTCCTCCTCCCCCTCCTCCTCCTTCCTCCTCCTCCCTCCTCCTCCTCCTCCTCCTCCTCGTCCTCCTCCTCCTCCTCCTCCTCCTCCTCCTCCTCGTCCTCCTCCTCCTCCCCTCCTCCTCCTCCTCCTCCTCCTCCTCCTCCTCCTCCTCCTCCTCCCCCTCCTCCTCCTCCTCCTCGTCCTCCTCCTCCTCCCCTTCTCCTCCTCCTCCGCCCTCCTCCGCCTCCTCCTCCTCCTCCTTTCCCCCCTCCCCCCTCCTCCTCCCCTCCTCCTCCTCCTCCTCCTCCCTCCTCCTCATCTCTCCCCCTCCTCCTCCTCCTCCTCCTCCTCCTCCTCCTCCTTATACATCTCCCTGCCCTCATCATCATCGTCGTCGTCGCCGTCGTCATCGTCGTCGTCGCTGCCGTCGTCGTCGCCGCCGTCATCGTCGTCGCCGCCGTCGTCGCCGTCGCCGTCGCCGTCGCCATCGTCGCCGTCTCCTGCTCGCGCATTCGAGGCCCTCGACGCGCAGGTTGGGTGGGGCTCAATTGAGTGCGCTCAGACGAAGCCGGTCTACGACAAGGACTGCGGCCGCGGCCGCCACTGCCGTCGCGGCGGCAAGGGCCTTCGGCGGCAGCGGCGACGACGCCGCCGCCGACGCCGACGCCCACGCCGACGCCGCTGCCGCTGCCTACGACAATAACAATGGCCGCGACGGCGACGACAACGTGCAGTCCAGCTTCCCCACACGTAATGCCATCATCCAGTTCGGCCTCGGCTGCATGTGGGCGCAGATCCCGTGGCACTGCCTGGGCGCCCACGTTCTCCCGAAGATTACCGAGGGCTGGGCGCACGGTGCGGGCTGGTGTGCCGCGGCCTTCCACGCCAGCTCAGCCTACACTTTCTCAATGGCGCCACTTGGTGGTGGGTGTCGTCGTCGATGCAGTCGATCGGCCGTGACATGACGAGGAGCTCCAACGAGCGCGGGGCCAAGCTCTGACTTATGGCCAAGCTGGGCGCCGGCATCGAGGCAGTCGCCGTGCCACGACGAGAAGCTGCAGTGGGTGCGGAGCCAAACTGGGACTTCATGGCCATGGCGATCGGGCGGCTGGCCAAACCTGATGTTCACCACCGGGGGGCGGACGCTCCCAGACGTTTTTGCGCGTCTTGAGCAATAGAGACTGAACTTTGCTTTGTTGTTCGACTTTTGGGCGCCCTTGTCGGGCCAGGGGAACGCCACAAACGGCTCGGGGTGAACAGCCAGTCCTGGAAAAGGAATCGCGACCTCTGCGGGCCCTCGTTGCAAACGGTGCAAGACATCAGGGGTCGGGGGTCGGGGTCTGGGTTCGCAAGGGTTGCAGCGAGGCCTAACCTCGCAGTCATGGGGTGCGCGATCATATCGTGCCTGTGGCTCTTCGCCCACATGGATCTCGCGCCAGGGACCGTAAAGAGGATGACCGTTTGAGGGCACTCGTCATCTGTTTCCTTGGCATCGCGATCCGTCGCGGCTAACACTTTGGCCAGGGTCCAGCATCGGCAGCGTCTGTTGTTCCCTGGTTGGGCCGTGAGATCCGTGCGCGGGAAAGAAGTGCCGCGTGACACTGGAGTGACGCGCCTCCTGGAGCCTCCTCCCCCGCATCTTCCCTCCTGTTCAAGCTCTTCCTCCAACTCTCCTCCCTCCTCCAGCCTGCATTCCGTCTCCCTCCTCCCCTTTTTTGTTCCTCCTCCGTTTCCTCCTCGCTTTCCTTTCTTCTCCAAAGTTATCCTTCTCCTCCGCCTCCTTCTCCTCCTTCTCCTCCTCGTCCTCCTCCTCCTCCTCCTCCTCCTCCCCGTCCTCCTCCAACTCCCTCCCCGACTTTCAGGCCTGCGCTGCGCGCCTGGGAGCCATGGGACTTGAAACATGTGGTTCACCTGTTGAGAAGCGAACCGGGAAGACAGCACACCATACAGCTGCATTCCCGCCGACTGCTCCCCTGCGAGCGCAGTCGCCGTGGTCGGCCCAGCGTTTTGTCTTTTCGATCCCTCCAAAGCCCCTCTCGTGTGCAGCCAGGGCGCTCCGCGCTGCCGGGGCGCCCCTTCGCCCGGGAGGGGCGAGATCGGCGGCAAAGCCGGCACGGTCGATTGCGCTCCGACGCTGTGCCTACTTCCACTTGCCGCGCGCCCTCGCAGCCGCCGCCGCCGCCGCCGTCGTCGTCTGGCCGTCATCGACATCGGCGAAGACTAATCATACACGGTTTTCGGGCAAACCCCTGGGTCAACACAGACCAGCTTTGCATCCCGGATCGATTTCTGACGGCCACTGCTATCGATCCATGGATCGATCGAGGACGGAGGGCAGGTGGTCGAGGACCGAGAGTATGTTTTTTGTATGTTGGGTGCCCGTTCTGAGCCTCTCGTTCTGAGCCTCCGTGGGCTCAGAATGGGCCCCCCCAAGCCCGACGCGTGCAGGCTCCTTCCCCTCCTCTCCCCTCCTCCCCCTCCTCCTCCCCCTCCGCCTCCTCCTCCTCCCTCCCCCTCCGCCTCCTCCTCCTCCTCCTTCCCTCTTCCTCCTCCCCCATCCACCCCCTCCTCCCCCTCCTTATCCCCTCCCCCTCCCCCTCCGCTTCCTCCGCCTACTCCTCCCCCTCTGCCTCCTCCTCCTCCTCGTTCCCTCCTCCTCCTCCCCCTCCCCCCCTTCCCCCACTCCTGAACCCCCTCCCTCTCCCCCTCCCCCTCCGCTTCCTCCGCCTACTCCGCCTCCTCCTCCGAACGACACCGTTATTGGCCGCGTCCTCCTCTCGCCTTGGCTTGTCTTCGTCGCCGTCCTCGCCGCCGCAGTCGCCACCGTCGCCGCCGTCGTCGCCGCCGCCGTCGTCGGCCGCTCGGGCGGCACGGGCTGTGGACGGCGCCCCTCAGGACGTCCTGTTCCAGGCGGCGGACCTGAACGGGCGCCAGGTGTCGGGCGGCGAGATCGTGACCTTTCAGGCCGTTCTTTTGAGGTAGCAGGATAGTGATGAGGAGGTGGAGGTGGGGGTGGAGGAGGATGGGGGTGGAGGATAAGGCGGATGGGGCTCGGCTGGGACGTACCCCCCCTGGGGGGGAGAGGAGGAGGAGGAGGAGGAGAAGGATGAGGTGAATGAGGAGGTGAATGAGGAGGAAGGATGGGGGAGGAGGGGCAGAGGAGGAGGAGGAGGAGGAGGAGGAGGAGGAGGAGGAGGAGGAGGAGGAGGAGGAGTAGGGCGGCTATCCCACCAGATATCCGGGCCAGGTCAGAAGGAGAAGGATGCGACGAAGGAATATGATGATGACGGCGATGCGGATGATGATCATGAGAAGGAGGAGGAGGAGGAGGAGGAGGAGGAAGAGAAGGAGAAGGAGTATGACGAGTAGGAGGAGGAGGAGGAGGAGGAGGAGGAGGAGGAGCACCAGCGAAAGCCCAAGACTCATCAACGATTTTGGAATCCACCCTTCCTCCAAGCTCCCTCTTGAAAGGTGCCATACAATGGTTCATTGTCATTGAGGGAATTGCCCGTTTTGGGGCAACCGTGCGGAAATCCTGAAGCGTGCGAAAACCACATTCTCAGGACCTCAACGCCGCGCGTCAACCTCATTGATGCGCCTTGACGATCCTGACGCGGGCCAGAACACCATTCCAGGAATTGCAACGCCGCAAATCAGTGTAACTGCTGCGCCCTGACAATCTTGAATATGTCCTTCACGCCATACCTGGCACGCTAACCATGAGAACAAGTGAACCCCTTGAACACCTCAAGCAAACGAATGTGCGCGCGCGAAGGCGAGAGCCACATTTCGAAAAAGGGCCGCCCTCAATCCGAGAAGTTTTCGTAAATTCGTAGGACGAATATGCGCGGCGCTGAGGCGAGAGCCACATGTGGAAAGCCACCCGCCCTCCAGTTGCGAAGCTGCTGCCAGTTGTTAAGCTTCAGGCTCATAAATGGTAAGGAAGCCTCAGACGAAATGCCCAGCCCGCCCATCGCACTGGCTTCGGGGTGTGGTACGGAGGAGTTGCTCATAAGGATAAGGACTCGAGGAGGAGGAGGAAGTAGAAGAAGAGCAGGAGGAGGAGGAGGAGGGGGACGTGAAGGAGGATGGGGAGGACGGGGAGGGGGGGAAGGATGATCAGTGATGGGGAGGAAAAGGAGGAAAACAACCAGACCGAGCACGAGCTCGTTACCATTCAATCTCTGGTGGTCCCAAGTTGGTCATCGTTGTCGTCGAAGGAGGCGTCGTCGTCGGCAGTGCCGTCGCTGTCGTCAAAAGAGGCGTCGCGGTCGTGGCCGTCGTCGCTGGTGTCGTCGACGATGATAGAGGAGGGGAAGGAAGAGGAGGAGGAGGAGAAGAAATATGGTGCTGTTGATGATGATGGTGGTGATGATGGTGATGAGGAGGAGGAGGACCAGTGTAAAACTCATCGACGATGTTGTAGTTCACCCTCCCTCCAAGTTGTTTTTGTTCCCATTGGGTCTTAGACGTGTCTGCATGATCTGTGGTAAGATCTTTGGTGGAAGACAACTGTCTGAAAACTTTCAGCAGCGCCAGATCACCATTCCTTGGATTTCAACGCCGTGAATCAGTCTCACGATTGCGGCCTGAACGTTCTAAATCGTGCCAGAATAGAATTCTTGTGACGTGTCAGCGCCGCGAACCAACGTAACAGTCGCTCCAGGACAATCCCAAATCGTGCCAAAGCGCCGCTTCTGGGACGTTAGCCATGAGAATCCTTGAATTAAGACGAATGCGCGCGGCGCTAGAGCGAGAGCCACATTTGGAAAAAGAACCGCCCTCCATCCGTGAGGGTCTTGCGACAGTTTGAAAACGACCGGCCATCCATCCGTGAAACTTTTGCGAATTTTCCTGACAAACATGCGCGGCGCTAAGACGAGAGCCACAGTCTCGAAACGACCCGCCCTCCATTCGTGAAGCTGTTGCAGAGTTCAAGCTTCAGGATCACAAGTCGCAAGGAAGTCTCATGCGAAACGCCAGGCCCGCCCTACCGACACGCCTCGGGGTGCGAAAGGGAGGAGTTAGTTGTAAGGAAAGGGGTGGAGAAGAAGGAGGAGGAGGAGAAGGAGGAGGACCAGTGCAAACCCGCAATAGCCAGATACTCGGTGCGAACAATACGCGATCTCAATCTGAGGTCCACAGGATAATGCGGTGTAATCGCCGTGTCTTTGACCACTTGGACTGCGACAGTCGACGGTGCCAGTCCAGACAACATAACAAAATGATCCAGCTCCCTCCATGTCTTGCCCTTCCGTCATGTGGACTCTCCCGCTGCTGCAACATGACCTCCCACTTTCTCAACCCAATCGAACTGTCGAGGCTGAGCGGGTGAGCAGTTCCAGTCTCCGCCCACTATGAAGGGTAAGCGGAGTGAGTGGAGCACTTCACCAAGCCGAAAGAGGATCTGCGATCCAATCTCTCCAGGCGGGTCTCCCGTCGGTAGATACACAGATACTATGAAAACAAATGTCCTTGCATAGCGCTGCTGATCCACGCCATAACAACTCGGGGGACCGAAGGCAAGGGTTAGCCCTTCCAAGGCCTCTTCCTCTCCCCTCCTCCGCCTCCTCCTCCTCCTCCGCCTCCTCCTCCTCCTCCGCCTCCTCCTCCTCTTCCTCTCTCCTCCTCTCTCCTCCTCCTCCTCCTCCTCCTCCTCCTCCTCGTCCTCCGCCTCCTCCTCCTCCTCCTCTTCCTCTCTCCTCCTCCGCCTCCTCCTCCTCCGCCTCTTCCTCCTCCTCCTCCTCCTCTTCCTCCTCCTCCTCCTCCTCCTCCTCCTCCTCCTCCTCAGCCGCCGCCACGGCCCAGACACCCGCGAGCGGCCCATCCCCACCCACAGTCATCACAGATCTTTGACGTGTGGAACACAGGGCGCATCGGCGGGAACGGGGCCGCTCAGGGCGGCGCCGTGGAAATCCATAAAGCAGTCCGCTACCGAACCCCCGCCGCGTTGATGTTTCTTTCTTGCTTCCTCTTAGAGTGCCTGCTGCGCCACATCCGCTTCTCCGCCGAGGAAAGCAACACGAGGATAGTGCACCAAAAGGTGCAGTGGGCGGACTTCACCTGCCACGAGGAGAATTTGAGGCAGACGGACAACGTGGACGTCTACGTGGCCTTCTGGACGGGCAGGGCAGCGAGAGACACAGATTACACGACGTACCAGGTGCCAAATTACCCATGTATTCAGTTCAGATGGAGGAAGGAGGCTGGCGTCCTCAGACCATGCGGACTGGCAGTGTTACTGGATAAGGGGATCAGTGGGAGGGGCATGGCCGTCAACACCCACAAGGGCAACATTATAATATTTTTCAAGTGGAGACAGAGCGAGCTTGGGGCACAAATGCCTCTTCATCATTTTAGGCGACTACAACTGCGCTTTTGGAATACGCCGAGACACAACAGGAAGGAAGTACATCGAGGCCACCGAGTCAATCGATACAGAGGAGCCCGTCCTAGAGAGCACCATCAGATCGCAGAAGTGCGACTTCATCGATGACAACCACTTGGCGATCGATGACACCTTCAAGCGGACAGGGCTCACCTACTACAGAGGCGCCTATACAAGCAACATAGACCACGTGGCATTGCCCGCGACAGCCATGTGCAGTAATGGCGATGGCTACACTGACTTCGACCAGACCGACAGGCAGCTCAAGGCCCTCTCACAGAGTTTACAGGAGCTTCGACGACGACAGAAGACGGAGAAGACAGAGAAACCGGTGGACCAGATCGGCGCAGCATGGAAACATCACCGGCACGCAGCGCTACACCGCCCTCGGGCCACAATGGCCAGCACTGGGCGAGGTCCGAAGAAGCAATGCGCGTTCGCACCGCGCACAGAGATGACAGCATCACAATGGGATGACGGCCTGAGCCGACCGCCACAGATTGGACGAACGCAGTGCGAGAATGTTGATTGGCAGGAGTGGACCGCTGACTGCGCCTTCATGCTGCACATTTACGGATCCTTGCACGCAGGCGATTTCCAAGATCAGATTCGCCGGGATTGTGCAGGACAGATTCGATACCAACGCCGCGCCCCCAAACAACGAGCATAACCAGCACGAGGAGTGCTCGCGGAGGCACTATGCAAGTTCATCGACAGGCGATACCACGACAACGAGTACGATCGGAAGTACAACCCCAAGCACTTTAGCAGTCGTCATGATGATCTACCTGCGATGATTCGCCTGGTAGGAAAAAACCCACCGAGCACCGCTCGGTCGCAGTCGTACCAGGCTAAGGGCAACGAGGAGAAGCTCGGGATCCAAGGGCAAAGAATCCTTCATTGTTTCGACGTGCCACGAGAACATGGGCGAACAGAGGCAACCTCCTCCAGATCCATGATCGCCAGCACGAACGTGTGTCCATGGTGCCGCACAGCAATTGCGAGCAGAGCACCACGGCTGCGATACTGGCTCAGGCGACCACAACGACGAAGAGACAGCGCCGATGCAGAAGATGACGACCAACCACGCGCAGATGATCAGGCAGATGTCAGGCAGCCAATGGGACTACTTCCTGGTCCCAGGAGAGCATACAACAGTGGCAGCCGCAGTAGCAGCGGACACAACCTACGCGGAGAAGGCCAAGGAGAAGAACAGCAAGGAGTCGGGGCCACAGTACCTCCTAATCGGTGCAGTCTTCCTCCTGGAGATGGGGCCAAACGACAAGGACGACGGAACCAACAAGACGATCCTGATGGAGGTGTTTGCTTAATGTTCGACGTGCTGGGCAGGCAGGGCTTCGGGGACATCGCCGCGCATCTCAAAGTCAAGAAGGCCTACAGAGAAGCGTGACAGCCATGGAGATGGAAGCTTTACCTGACGATCGACAGCCTCGCACGCAGCCCTTGGACGGGCTCATTGGAGGATCAGATCAACGACAATCGCGAAGGAGACCAGGAACCGCCCGTCAAGATCAGCCGCACCGCGCAGGCTGGGGACCTCAGGAGAATCGTCGTGGATGCACTCCGAGAAGCAGAGACAGAGCAGATATTAGGAGCATTGCTGCCAGAAGGACTCGTGAAGAAAGGACAGGCAGCACTGTGCGTACGTCAACAGGAGATGGAGGGAGAGAGATGACAGAACTTAGAGAACTCGCCAGGGCTGGCAGCAGCAGGGCGAATGGCCTGCTGCGACGCCCCACCCATCCGTGATGGCTCCCCGCGCATGAGCTCACGCGAAGTCGTTAAACACCTGTCTTTGGGATTTAGGCGCCAAATGGTGCCCCTCTGTTCGTCTTCTCCTGGTCCCCGCGGCGTCCGTTTTTAGCGATTGGCTCCCTCGTGGCCCTCTGGGCCAGCCGCGGGGACCTGGACCTCTGGAACAGACAGGTGCACAACGACGGAGCGCGCAGCAGCTTTAGGTAGTGGAACGTGGGGGACGGGTGGAGTTGGGGGGCAGGGTGATGGTGGTGGCGGGAAGACTGCTACAATGGGACGCGTCCCCAGTCAGGGGCGATTGGCCCGACGGCCCTCAGCCCCTGCCGTTTCCATAACAATTTTGTACGCGGGAAGGCCCCGCGCTGCAGCGGGCCGAGAGGCTAAAAAGCCAAGGGTCCCGTAGGCGACCCGTCGATCCGCCGATCTGACGTGCCAGCAGCAATAGGTTCGTATGCAGTCGAACCCCAGACAGCTGCCAAGGCTTCCGACTCCGACTCCTCCTCCTCCTCCTCCAGGGGCCCCCCACCGCGCCGCCGAGAGGTCGCGAGCGTCAGCGGGTCACCCGTGGCGGTCAACCTGCAGTTCCTGCAGCCGGAGGCGCCCGCCGCGCCCGTCGCGCCGCCGAGGCCGCCACCGCCACCGCCGCCGCCGCCCGTGCTCGCGGCGGCGCCAGGGCTGGCGGAGGCGCAGGCCCGGGGTCGAGCGGCAACCTTGTCGTCCTCGTCGTCCTCGTCTTCGTCGTCGTCGAGGGGGGCGTCGTCGTCATTGTCGAAGGAGGCGTCGTCGTTGGTGTCGTCGTCGTCGTCGTCGTCGTCGTCGTCGTTGGTGTCGTCGTCGTTGTCCGCGGTGTTGGTCTTTGTTGTCGTCGAAGGAGGCGTCGTGGTCGTGGCCGTAGTGGTCGGCGTCGTCGTCGTCGGAGAGGTGAGTGGAGGAGGAGGAGGAGGAGGAGGAGGAGGAGGAGGAGGAGGGGGAGGATCAGATAAACAGTAATAGTAGGAGTAAGCAAAATAACATTTACAGGTTTACTTTATAAGAATCAAAAGGAGTGGCTAAAGAGAGGTTCCCGGACATGTTCGGAGAGCTGAGGTGGTCCTTTGGGTTTTCCCCCCCGGTCCTTTGGGTTTCCCCCCCCCCAAGTCGCCACTGCGTGTGGCGGTTCGGAAACGGGCCAGGTCTCCAGGACTGCGCCGTCGTCGTCGTCTTCGTCGTCGTCTTCGTCGTCGTTGTCGTCGTCGTACTGTTCTTCATGGGCCGGGTTTGAGCGTATCCGCCACGCGGCGTCGCTTGAAGCACTCCGCTGCTGGTCTCTTCCCGCTTCGGTCTTGGGAGCCCACACAGATCGACTTAGCTCGAGAAATCCCGTGTACCGGGGCTCTGGTCGTGCTGTCTTAATGACGCAATGTGTTCTGCTCGCGACGTCGGATGTCGGGGCCGCGGGGTAAGGGCCCCAAACAGAAGCATGCTGTCTCGATCGACTTTCTCCGATTACTGCCGACCTGAGGGACCTGGTTGGTTGCTACTTGTGCGAGGAGGAGGAGGAGGAGGAGGAGGAGGAGGTGGAGGAGGTGGAAGAGGAGGAGGAGTGCCCCCCTGGGCCCTCAAGTTCCACCGCCTCCAGAAACTGTCCATGTCCACCGCGCTGGTGTCGTGCTCCGGGGCCTCGGGGAACGGTGGGCATGACTGTCTGGCTGCCCTGGAGGGTTCGAAAGTCCAAGATTCAATAAAAAATGCTACGAAGACCAGAAGCCGACAGCAGGTCTTGCCCTACGATTCGCTGTCGGCGTCGCCGCGGACGTGGTCCATTTGGGGTCAGAACGTCGCCTGCTCAACAGCGGCCGATGTTGGTTTTGGACAACATCTGCAGTTGGGTATCGAACCCGTTTTCCCGTATCCATTGCGGGCGTGCCAGTGTCCACCGTTCTCCAGTCTCTCGTGTCAGGGGCAACGTAACGGGGGGATGGGCTCAGGAGGGGGATCCATCGACCCCCTACCGCCCATTGATCACCGATAGGGGCCCGACGGCCCACCCCGCCTCGGACCAAGCGGGGTCGTCATCGGAGGCCTGTGGCCGATCTACCGGCGACGAATCGCCGATTCAGCTCGATGTTTCCCCCGCTGAGCGGGCCCCCCCCCCTGACGTTGCCCCTCATCGTGGCCCCGGGCAAAGCCTCAGAAGTCGTGGGTCTGGATGCTTATCGGCGGTGGGCCAGCCGACCCCAGGCGCAGGCGCAGGCGCAGGCGCAGGCGCAGGCGCAAGCGCAGGCGGCGCTCCTCGCGGTGCAGGGCGGCAGCTACGTCGGCTGCGTCAAGAACTACAGCCCGCTGAAGGGGTGGGGCTTCATAGAGTGCCCGGAGACGGGCCAGGCGTTCGGGAAGGACTGTGGTGAGCCCGAGATCTGGGCGTCGCCATTTTTCACACGGGGCGTTCTCCCCCGATGTCGGGCCCCAGGGCCATCACGTGTCGGTCTGGCTCGAAGAAGTGCCGCAGAGAGACTGGGAACAGGGCTCCAGGGCGCGTTTTTGTTCGCAGCGTCGGACCTCCGGGAGGGCTTCGGTTGCGCACGGGCAGCTGGCTCCCCGACGCAGCCCCGGCGGGCCTCAGCATGCCCCCCGAGTAGATCAGGGCGGCTTCAGCACCCCGCCCCCCGGGGCGCGGAGCGCCCCGCGGGGCGCCGCTGGAGGCGGCGCCAGGGTGTTGAGACCACCCAGGGGCCCGTTGAGGCCAGCCAGGACCGCCCGCGGGGGCTGCGCTGCGCCGCGGCCCGGAGCCGCCGCGCAGGACATCTTCTTCCTGAAGAGCGAGCTGGGCGGGGACTACCAGGCCCCGGGGGCGACGACCGCACCCGCGTGCGCGCCCTCGTGGGTCCGAGTGCCGCGGCCGCGCCCCCGTGGCTGCCGGCAGGCACGGGCGGTAGGCACGTTGCCCCGCTGCTGGGCGCGAGCGCCTCGTGCGGCAGCGCAGCCCTGCGCTCGTGGCGCGGGTGTGCTGACGTCGGGCATGTCCCTCTGCAGGAGGAATATTCCAGAACTGTCAGAAATCATAGGGGGAAGACTGTTCTGTTGTTCTATGTGTGGTGATCCTGTTGGTGCGTTGTTTGTCGTGTCTTTCGGACAATTTCGCCCGAAACCCGCCAGTGGGAGGCCATGGCCGACCTGAGGGTATGCCCGTCGCACAAGATCCGCTGAATGCGCCTGTACACCACCATCGTGCCTGGCCAAGGCCATCCTGGGCCCCAGGATGGTGCACACCGGAGACCCATGCCAAGAAACACCCTGCTTGCCTCCAGGGTGCCCTGCCCTTGGATTTCTTGGGTCCCCTGCGAGCCGATCGAGCCCGTTCGGTATCGGTTTCCGGCCGGGCCGACCCGATTCGATGCCGATAAGCCCACGAGCCGATGCGGCCCGAAGCTTGCACAGCGCAGCTGTGAACCCTGGCGCCGCCGACCCTGTTCGATTCCGACCTCGTGCCGACGCAATCGGAGCCGACGCGCGCTCCGATCCGGCCCGACCTCGCGGTGCGACGCTAGCTGATCCCGCAAACAGGCCTCCAAGGGCGACGTCGTCTCCTTCAAGATCACGCAGGGGAAGAACGGCCCGATGGCCCAGTCGGTGGTGTTCCTCAACGCGGCGGCCGCCGTGGCCCCGCAGGGCTCGGGACTGTACTCTGGGACGCTGAAGACGTACAACCAGGAGAAGGGGTGGCCAGGGCAGGGAAAGCCAAGGGGACGTTCGGGGTTATTCAGGAGGGAAAGAAACACACAGACACAATTAATCTTCAATTTCCAAGAGAATATGGCAGAATATGGGAAGTGGGGGGGGAGACAAAAACCCAGAACATATTGGAAAATATGGGGAATCCTTTTACTTGTGTGTATTTATTTGAGTGTCCCAGTTCCCCTTTTGTTATAGGCTCGGGGGAGGGGGGATGCGTCGACCGCGAATCACCCATGGATCGCCGATAGGGGCCTCATCGCCCCCCGAGCCCAGGAAGGCCTGTGGCCGATGTGCCGGCGACGTATCCCCGCTTCGAGCTCGATGCTGCCCCCCCCCAGGAATCGGTCCACCTCCCATCGTGCCCCTCAGATGATGTATCGAAAAGAGGATCGACTACAGAATTGATTAGCCCCAAAACTGAGTTGTTCGTCGAATTGGCGAATAATGCGTAGGATGCTCCGTGGGGCTTTCTACGCATTCGTTCGTATATTCGACGGAAAATCAAATTTCGGGGCAAATCAATGTTGCAACCGATCCCTTGCTCGAATGTAGGTTTCTCCCCTGTTGGTCGCGGGCCTCATAATGTGAGCCCCAGGGCTAATGATTGAACCCCGGCCCCCAAAATGAGGTCATTGGAATCGCAGCCATATTTTAAAGCCGTGTGGGCACCGAGGCCGAATTTTGTTACCAGACATCTGAGATCGCATCGCATCGTGTCATAGCACGATGCATTGTGAGCAATCATCATATGGAAACAGTCGTATATTAGTATACCTAGATGCATTCAAACAGACGTTTGCATACATATGTATATGTACCGTTTGTTTACACACATAAGCACACATACAATTGTATATAAATATGCATGTGCGCATGTGGGCATATGTATATACACATATATGCTGTGAGTCACAGACATACAAATATGTAAGAAGCTGTCGTGTGACACGCGCGTGTGTGTATATATCTATATACGCGTGCGTGTTCACAACCCCATCACATCACCTATTGTTGCCCCGTGCCCTGTTATGGTCTTCTCCTCCTCCTTTCTTCCTCATCCTCTTACTTCCCCTCCGCTGCCATCTCTCCTCATCGTTCCCCCTATCGTCGTTTGCCCGTGTTGCATATGGAACACAGATGAAGCGCATCTATTGCAGGAGTATTTGGAATTACCAGCACCCCCAAGCTTCAGCTGACGGAAGAGGAAGAGGGGCGTAATGCTTCAGATCGCGTAGGGGTGAACTGCTCCAGCCAGATACGGGGCGAAATGCTGCAAGGGGCACAGTGTTCCAGATCACGTAGGGGCGAAATGCTCCAGATCACGTAAGGGCGAAATGCTCCAAGTCACGCTGGGGCGGCATGATCCTGACATTGGCCCGGTTCGTCCCTCTGTCCTGTTCCGCCCCCTCGTCTTGCCCACTTATCTCCATCGCTCCCGCCTTCTCGCCCCACCCTTCCTCATCCGCGCCAACTCTTTTTTCTCGTTGATATTTTTTCTGGCCGGAGCTTGCTTCGACGCAGGACTCGCGGCGCAGTTTCCGCGAACCTACGCGGCAGCAGTGCCGATCATGTTCCGCCTCGCCCCCTGGCGCGCCGCCAAGGCGCAGCACCCCTTCTTCCACAAACCCGACGCCGGCATGGCGGCGGCGGCGGGGCAAGCGGAGTCGCGCCCCGCTTCAGACCGGAGGACCTCTCTTTGGACCTCCGGAACAGCCTCCGCTTCTTATTCCGCAAGTGGTTCCATTGGACCGGCGACAAGCAGGAGTTCGACGCCCAGGTGATCCGCGCGATCGGCGGCGACGCGCGGAGCATGGCCATGGACGCTCCTGCGGCGTGGGCGGCGAGGCTCGCGCAAACAAGAACAATAGCACGCGCGCACACAAAGGGCCAAAAAACAAAGTTATCGAGCCATCGCAACATAAAGTGACAGTTTTCTTATTCATTGTTTTGCCGATCGGCGTGGGCCCTCGCGCCCCTCCCCCCTTGAACTGGATCCTGGCTGTTTTTGGCGCCTGCCCCAGGCAATTGGGGCCTCCCCCGTAGAACGCACCGCTGCAAACAGCGGCAGTAAGCAGAGGTCTGGAGCCAGACCCCCCCCCACCCGCCCGTCCAACGTCGAAGCGCCGAATCTAGAAATCTTGACAAACTGCGAGGATCTTGCAGCTCGCCGTTCAGACTATTACGCTGCGCGGCTCCACCACGGTCGGCTTTTTCTCGGCGACTGGCACCTAGATGTCCTACAGCCACGTCGGGGCGCATCCATCGGCGCGGCGCAGGTCGGCGACCACGGGGAGCTACGCGCGCTGCTTCATCAGACCGCCACGACCGCATCGCCACAGATTCCGGCGAGGTGGTCGGGCCGAAGCAGGTAGCGTTTTTCCTTGGCGCGAGCAGGGCTGGCGACGATTTCGAGCGCTCCGTGGCGCAGGCCGACAACGGCGTCGTCAAGATTGAGCCCGCGGGACATCATCGCGCGCTGTTTTGACGGCATCACCGACGACGTCCCGCGCGAAACTAAAAGTTAAAGCTCGCGCGCGCTGGCTCCGACGCGCGCGCCGCGGCCGACCAAATGATCGAATCGAGCGCGCGCAGATGCACGGCGCGCCCAAACCCGACGACATCGCGATCGCGCGGTGTAGCCGGGCGCGCGTGAGACATGGGATTCCGCCGGCGAATGAGCCGCCGTCGCAACCGACGCGCGCATCTCGACCGCCAGAGACCCAAATGAGAGCCACGAGCTAAATTGAGAAACCGTACATGGTGAACAAAAGCACGTCGTTGCCGCCCTCTGCGTTTGCCGGGTCGCGAGACCCGGGGCTCCTTCGGCAGGAGAACCGCCGCTGCACCCGACGCGCGCATCTCGACCGCGCGAGACCCACGTGGGAGCCGCGAACTAGACGAAGCAGCCGTACTTGACGGAAACACACCGTTGCCGCCATCTGCGATGTGCGTTTTCTTTTCCGGTCGCGAGACCTCGGGTTTCTTCGGCAAAAGAGCACCCGCCGCGAACGACGCGCGCATGTCGGGGCCCGAATGAGGGCCACGAGCTAACTGAAGCAGCCGTACTTGATGGGGGAAAAACACAACTTCGTCGCGGCCCTCCGCTTTTTTTTTCTGGTCGCGAGAACTCGGGCTCCTTCGGCCCCAAGAGCCGCCGCCGCGCCCGGCGCGCGCGCCTCGACCGCCAGAGACCCAAACGCGAGCAACGAGAAAAACAAGCCAGCCGTATATGACGGAGGAAAAAATCGTCGCCGCCCCCCGCGTTTTTCTGGTCGCGAGACTTTGGGTTCTCTCGGCAAAAGAACCACCGCTGCAACCGACGCGCGCATCTTGGCCGCGCAAGGCCGAATGGGAGCCGCAAGCTAAATAAAGCAGCCGCACTCGACGGGGGAAAATAATTATTACATCGTTGCCTCCCCCGTCTTTACTGGTCGCGTGACCTGGGTTCGTTCGGCAAAAGAGCCACTGCCGCAACCGACGCGCGCGCCTCGACCGCCAGAGTCCCAACTGGGAACCACGAGCTACATGAAGCAGCCGTACATGACGGAAACACACAGCGTCGCCCCCCCCGTGTTTTTTTCTGGTCGCGAGACCTTGGGTTCTTTCGGCAAAGGGGACACGGCCGCAACCGTCGCGCGCGCCCGCGCTGCCAGGGGCGCGATAGAGACCGACCAGAAATATTTATCAGCCGCACGCGCTGCAGCGTCCTCTCCCGACAGGCGCGCCATTTGGCTCGGGGCGCCCGTCGCCCCGACGGGCAACAGGCGCTCCGACGTTGACCCCCTTCCCCCGCGAGGCTTCAAGAGATGGCCGCCCGCGGCGTCGTCGCCGCGGCTGCCGGCGCGCCCGCCCAGCGCGCGAAATCGCTCGGCGCCCACATGTGCGTCGACGGCATGACGAGCGAGGCCCTCGCTGCCGCGTGGGCAGGGCGAAGGCCATGGAGAAGGCGAATCCCTTGAGCAAGCCGACGATCGACGTCGCCATCGACCGCAAGGGCTCGGTCGACGTGTAGCATCCCCATCGCCAGGCCATGGAACGCCCTCGGAAACGGCTCCATTACGCCCGTCGCCGTTGCCATCAGCGACGCCGACGCCCGCGAGATCGCCAACCTGGATTGGGCCAACGTGAAAGTCACCACGGCGGAGGGCAAACACAAGGAACCACTGCCGCCGCTCTGCTTCGGCGATTCTGAGGCAGAGCCCCCCGGCGCGACGAATCTAGCCGCCGCGCTCAGGAACGCGGGCGGGCCTCCGATCATCGCGAAGCGGATTCAGTCCATCAACAGCGAGAAGTGCAATCCTGTGAAGAGCAGCATCGTCCGCGGCAGCGCGCGCGTCTTGGACTGGCGCAAGGGCGCGTTCAATTCTGCTCGCGCGATGCAGGTCGTCTTCGAACGCCTCGGCAGCGCCCGAGCTCGATGCTGGGAGTTCACGATCGCGCCCGCGCCCCGCGACAGCTGCGGCGACGTCGATGTCGAGGGGGAGAAGAAGCAGCTCTCTGAGGGCGCGCAGCACATTAACGGCGAAGCCCCACGCACGAACGCCGATTGCGACCCGTTGGAGCGGGCGGAGCGCGAGCTGGTGGATCCTTCGTCGCCGATTCACAACCGCAGAAGGCAGCTCATCAAGTCTGTCCTCAAGGTGCTGCGAGACCGCGACCACTTCGCCAGCGAGGGGGAGTGCAACTCAGTCACTCTCCCAGATATCCGCGACGAGCACCAGGGCGCCATGCGGCGCGCCACGGCGTCGCTAGATACCGGCGCCATTCTGCGCGCGGGCGAGGCCGACTTCGGCAAGGCGCCGTTCACGATGGCGACGGCCGCGGCAAGCGCCAGGCACGACGCCGACGCGGAGAACAGGGCGACTGGCCTCGCCAACGCGGTCGCCGCCGCGCGGACGGCGCCCGATATGGATTTCTCCCGCGGGGAAGTCGGGCAGCGCCGGACCCCCTCCATCCTCGATGGCGGTGGCCTGTCGGAGCAGAG